GTGTGTGGATAAATGCCACTCCCATTGCTGGCATGTGGTGACTGACAGTGAAGCTCTTGATTCAATAAAGGTTAGCCACACCTGGATCAAGTGAAACAACGTCTTGGTTGTGGGGTTGCCAGGGGCAAGATGGGATGGATGAGAAGAGAGGTCAACCTGCTGGCTCTTCACTTCTTGGAGGAGCTGCCAGAGAATACAGGACATGGGGCAGAGTTCAGCTAAGTTGTTGCATGCACAGAATGAGGCCTTCTTGGGCAATGGGGCTTCCCCCACTCCTATATGCTTCCCATGGCCCCTAAAACTGCTCTTGAGGGTTGAGGGGAAACCCAGAACAGGTCTAGGGGAGCATGGGGGAGGAGAAAAGGGGAAGTCACATTTGACAGTAGGTATTATTCTGTGCACACATAACCCACTTAGTGTTATGTTAAATTCTACCCACAGTGGGTGGGCCAAGTGAGTGATGCAGATGTTATAGAGACCTGAAAGGCCTGTGGTTGTTGTTGTTTAGTCATTTAGTCGTGTCCGACTCTTCGTGACCCCATGGACCAGAGCACGCCAGGCACTCCTGTCTTCCACTGCCTCCCGCAGTTTGGTCAAACTCATGCTGGTAGCTTCGAGAACCATCTCGTCCTCTGTCGTCCCCTTCTCCTTGTGCCCTCAATCTTTCACAACATCAGGGTCTTTTCAAGGGAGTCTTCTCTTCTTGTGAAGAGACGTGGTAGTGTAGCTATTTTGTCCTGTATCTGGATATCTGATGGGAAGCGGGGCTTGGTGTGAAAAGCATATCTTGCCCACAGAGTTTGGCCCAGGGGTTTGTGCAAGGCACACCAAAAGTTGCTGCATGCGGTACAGCTGCCACACGGAAGCTGCGCTGTTACAGCACTCCATGTGACAGCTGTCACCGTGCGCTAAGCCATTCATGTGAAGTAGCTCGCCACACCATTTGCCTGCTTTTCCTCCGCAGCATCGCAGCCTTCTTCTTTGCTCCATTTTGGGTGGCGTCTGTCGAAATGGGAAGCTCTTTCATACAAAGAGATCAATCCGTGGCGGCAGCTGCCAGGTAGAAGTACTTAGAGTTGCAGTGCGTAGCTGAAGTAATAGGTTCAGCCAGCTCCGAGGGCCAGGTTAGTAGGAGAGATTCAGGCAAGCGATCGTTTCTGATCTGCCCTCTTTTGCTTCCGTCTCCCATGTCCACCTTAATGTCTTCTGCCATGGCACCTAGGCCATCTACCTGCCACCTACTTGCTCTCTCATTGTAAAGCCACTTCCCTCATGCCCACTTCTTTAACAAATCATTTCATGGATCCTTTTAACCCATGCCTAACCAGCTGGCATCCATGCTCGCTCTCGCTCTCACACATGCGCATACCAGTTCATTTCCTTGACCCTACTTCGCTGCTTTGTCCGCCTGCAATGTATTAATGAGCCTTCCAGCCAGGAACTCTATTGTTTGTGCATTCCGTACAGCATCTCAAGCTCTGCAAATGTTCACTCATAACAGTGGGTTGGGGGCACACTAGAGTGACTGATGGTCAGGACTGGGATGTCTTGCTAACTCATTTGGGGAAACTTGCGCTGTGCCTCTTGCTTTAAATTCAACACGCACACCCATTTTTCTCTGTGATAAAATGGGGCGCACACACATGCACACACTTAAAAAAAGAACCTTAAAGAAATTTGACTCTAAATAAAACCTTTCCCTGAAGCTGATCACCGGCTCTGGCTCTGTATGAAAAGCTCTTTCCCCAACGCCAACCGCTGCATCTGTGAGCCGCCCCACGCTTCTCCCTTTAATGTTCTCACTTTTAACAAATGCATAAAAATTAAACAACTTACTCCCCTCCGGCTTCTTTTCCTGCTTTAGCAAATATTTACTGAGGTTAGATTTTGCCTGTGGCGTTTGTGTGAGTGAGGGAGATTAGAGCGGTGGAAAAGGAGTGCTCTCTTTTTTCCCACTTTTGCAATTTTTCCACTTTCCAACAAAGGAGCTGAGGGAAGGAACCCCCTTTGAAACGCTGAACCCCTCAGAAGCCTTTGTGTCCCTGCCAAGGCGGGCCTCTCCCACCACAGATGCGTGGCTGCACTTCAGCTTGAGTGCCTGGAATACCCTGTCCTCACAGGGGCAGGCTATACATTAGGCACAAATGCAATAACAAAGCATGTACAGTATTTTTTAAATGAAAGGCAGCCTTGCCCAGAGAGAGGCAGGGAAGAGGGGGGATGTGAAGGAAAGGGACTACTTAACTCTTTCCCCATTTCCACGCAAAATCTCTCCTCTGCGTGCTGCTTTCCTCCATGCAGAGTTCCACATCTTCGTTTACACCATCTTGTTCATGGGCTGCATGGTTGGCTTCCCCTTATAATGATTTTTTGAGGGGTGGGGGAGTGGGATATCTGGACAGGGACAAAGTACATGTCCCACTTCTGGTGGCAATTGTCACCTGTGTTTTCTTCTGTGTTACCATTTCAGAGGAACCTAGGAAATTGCCTCATACCACGACAGACCAACAGTCCATTTAGCTCAGTATTGCCAACACTGGGTGCAACACTGCCAATGGGTGCAAAAACAGACAAAGGCTCTTTAAAAAAATACAACTAGGTCTTCCAGACAGGCAGGGCCAACTAGAGTGCATGCCTTATCGGCCTACAGAAGGCTTCAGCTTTCTGCTGAGACAACATACTTTGGTAGCTGCAATAGAAAGGAGAGCTCCAGCCTGCTGGTGCACTGGGAGCTGTCCATGGTTCTGACTTCCCTGATTAGCCTGACTTGAGAAGTCCAGAAGAAACACTGTCTGACTGTGTCTTCTTCCACTGTGAGGCTTAGTAGCCATGGGATGGGATTCCTGCATATTTATGATATATAGAAAGGTGCCCTCTTAAATCTCCCACACAATGTAAGGCTTTAAGAATTAAAATTGGGAACATTACAAACGTGTAGCTAGTTTGTATGATTCTATGTGAAAGCTGATAGAGAATGGAGAGTATAAGGTAACTAGAGCATCAGACAAGATACAGGCTGCCATGAAATGCCATGTCTATCTAGCTCAGCATTGTTTATGTACTCTATACAGACAGATAGAAGCTTAGGCAGAGTTCTCTCTCAGCCTTACCTGGAGATGCTCCAACTCTAAGCCATGACCCTTCAAAACTCAGTCTCTTGGCCATTACACTCTGGTGGCTGTGATGCGGTGATGGGCTGTCAGACCAGCCTGCAGTGACTACATGACAGTGGCTCCTGTAATATGGCTCCCTGGTCCCAGAAGTATTTAAAGAAGTGTACTATCTTCAAATTGAGAGTTGGGAACGTTATCTATAAGGCAGAATGGCAAAGTGTACCCTGATGATCCATGTGGTGCACTAGGGAGCAACCGAACATAGGAGATGCCATTTTGAATGTTATTGGGGAATCAAAATTTAAGTAAAAGTTTAGAGGTACCTTTTTGCAAATGCCCTCATTTGGATATGATATTCCTCCAGGAAGCACATTAACAAGCTCCTCCACAATTCACATCAGCTGCACAGGATTCCTTGATAGTCTGGGAAAGGTAATTTGTATTTGGATCCTTGGGGCAAGGACCTGATTTTGGTTTTGGTTTTTTGTTGTTGCTCTTGCTGCTCTTTAAATTGGCCTTGTGCATTAGCAGAGCTGTATTTAATAGTAAATTTAAATATTGTAGATGGTGGTGACTTGTAATGTGTATTTGAACTTCAGGATGTGCTGTATGCATGTGAGCTGCACATGAACTTTTTACAGGACAAAGCCAGTTTCTGAACGTGAATGGCATGTTTGGGCAACCATGCCTCAATTCTTAGACCAGCCTACCAGAGATACTGTATTTGCCCCTTCTTTTAATGTTGTATTTTAATCTTGTTTTTTAAGTTGTATTTCAATCAATTGTTTTATATCTGGTGTTAGCCGCCCTAAGCCTGGTCTTGGCTGGGGAGGGCACGGTATAAATAAAATTTATTATTATTATTACCATATTTTTCGCCCTATAGGGCGCACCGGCCGATAGGGCGCACCTAGTTTTTTGGGGGGGGGGAATAAAGGAGGGGAAATATCCCCCCCAGCCAGGGGAAGCCCGAGCTTCCCCTGATCCCAGCCCCCAGAACAGGCTGCTATCCGCAAGCCTTCGGAGCCTGGTGGGAACTCCTGCCGGGCTCAGAAGGCTTGCAGATAGTTGCCCGAAGCCCCGGAAGCCCAGCTCTGCGCTGCGGAGCGCTCCCCGGGTTTCGGGCTGCAGGCTGCTGTCCGCAAGCCTTGAGAGCCCGGCGGGAACTCCCGCTGGGCTCCGAAGGCTTGCGGATAGCTTCCTGAAGCCTGGAGAGCACCGACCCCTCTCGCTCTCCAGGCTTCAGCGAAAGCCTGCATTCGCCCCATAGGACGCACACACATTTCCCCTTCATTTTTGGAGGGGAAAAAGTGCTTCCTATAGGGCAAAAGATACGGTATTATTATTATTATTTATTTATTTATTATTATTATTCTCAAAATGGTGGAGCCACCCCACCACTGAAGGGAGTTTTCCATGGTAACAAGGAAACCATGGCCTGCAACTCCTCTCTGCAAACAAGAACGATGGGATGCAATTTTGCCATTGCTTCTACCCATTCATGTAAGTGCATTCACACAATGGCATTATCTTGCACAGTGTGGAGTGTTGCACACCAATTGCATATTCACTATCAAACACACACTCACCTGCGTAGCCTCTTCTGTTTATGAATGGTCATGCAAAACCAACCCTCCTGCGCATGCTGTTTTCCATCTTTCTCGCACACGCACACAATCTCTGCCATTTAATCAGCACAACTACCTTCCCAACAGCTGATGAAACATTCATGTCTCCTAACCACATGCTGACATTTTACAAGCAGAAAATGTAGCGTACACAATACAAAGCTACTCCAGCCCCAGAGTGAAGACAAGGCACAGCACGATCCCATCCTTGGCTTTTGTGTCCCGGCTTTGTCTCCTCACCTGGCTTTTCCTCTTGCAGAGCCTGAGCATCCGCTTGTTAAAGAGGAACTGCGGCCTGGTGTGCCTTTGTATTGGAGCACTGATCGGCGTGCCATGGAACAGAGGGCTAGTTAGACAGCAGAAGGGGGCGGCAGCCAACAGTGACTGTTTGGTGCTTCAGGTCTTTAACCCTGAAGCGTGTGAGATGGAGAATGAGGTCTGGAACATCTGGGTCTTTAGAAAGTCCAGAATTCACAGCTCACCTTCAATCAAAGTCCTAGTTTGCTTCCTTTTATCCTTCCTTTTTGCCTCGTTATATTTTTTTCTTTTTTTTGCGGCTGTGTTGACTTCCAAAGTCATCCATTGTTATCCACAGTATTCTTTGACAGTGTGTTCCAAAATACAAAACTCTATTATTGATCAGAAGTTGCCCATAGCCAAGAGTGGGGCCATTTCAGACACTTGAACATGGGGAAATCGTTCCCTCTCTCACTACATACTAGAGATGCTGCTGAAGATGTCCTGATTAGTCTGGTCTTACTTGTTTTGCCACTTTTAGTCATTTGGACCCAAACTGATTCTTTTGGAATGCATTTGCACACAATACTATATTTGTGCAAGGGAGGAAGTGGGAACCCCCTTTTTTGAATGGGTATGTGCATACGGGGATAAGAAATGAGCCTTGGGGTAGAAAGTAGGACCTCGTGCTTATGTGCCTTCATATGCATATTTGTTTTAAACATTTCTATTCTGCATGTCTGTCTGAAATGGGAAACTTGGCAGCTTACATTGTGTCCAAACTCGTGATTGCCAGCATCTGGTATTCAGTGGCATGCCACCTTCGATGCTGGAGATATGGGAGACATCACAACTAGTAGCAATTAATACCCTAATCCTTATCCTCTGCGAGTGCATTGGATAGATTTTAAAGTTGCACAACAGGGCATGTTTATGCAGCCATGTGCTATCCACACTGATCCTCACCAGTGCTGTTTGGGCAGTACAATCTGCCTCCCGGCCTCACATGTAGAATCATAGAATTGTAGAGTTGGAAGGGACCCTGAGGATCGTTTAGTCCAACCCCCTGCAATGCAGGAATATGCAGCTGTCCCATTCAAGGATCAAGCCTGCAACCTTGGCATGATGAGCACCATGCTTTAACCAGCTGAGCTATTCAGCTTGTCCACCTCCCCTCCCTGCAGCATTCTGTGATTCCTTCTCCAATGTTCAAAAAAGGGCATGGCTTGGGCCTAGTTGATGAAAGCAGTGGGGAGGGTTTTTGGCAGCTTTGTGGGGGCCAGGGGTGTGTGTAAAGCTGGGAGCCTGGCCAAAGGAGGTTGTGTCTGGGAAGCCGGGCTCACACTTGCTCCAGCCAAATGAGCTATATTTAGCAGAGGGAAAATCTTGCTTCATCAGGCAAGATGAACGGCAAGCCAAGGAAGCAAATTCTGCAAGGGCTTGACAGCAAAGGCAGAGCTTTTGTGTGGCTGTTTTGAATGGCTGCGATCAACTTCTCAGGGTTTTTTTAAAAAAAGTATTTCAGAGAATGGGATTGCTTCAACTATCAATGCTGCCATTTCTGACTGTTGAAAATCTGGATTTCCCTCAGTCATCGTGGCTGAGGGCCAAGAGGACAACAGGATTCTAGGTCTCAGAGTGATACTTGGTTGGAGGGTGGGGGGAACCCGTGAAGATTTAGGCAGCAAGGAATTTAAGCGGTTGGGATTATCCTGTAAAGTGATGGAATTTATGGTATGGAACACGCACGGACCTCTTCGTTCGCTTTTCCCACCCCCTTCCCTGCCACAGGGTTTTTCACATAATATACATAATGATTATATTAGCAACCCAATGCTTACTAGCCACCCAAAGTCACTCTGCTGATCTCCACTGCTCTGACCAGGAGAGAAAGGAGGGCCAGAATAGAGAACTCACTTCATGCCACCAAATGTCCCGGGTATAAGGAGCCATTTGGCACCTATCTTATATGTCTGAGTTTCTAACACTGTTTCCAGGAGCGCTGGCACTCCTGGCAACTCGCTGTTTCTTCACACGCACAGACCACAGCTTTAAATATTTAATACCAACACAAGCCACCCAGAATCTGGGATCTGCATCTGAGGCCGTTCTCTGCTCTCTCTTGCTGTCAGAAACCAGGAAGGGGGCAAATAGGAAGTGGGATCCCGGTATACGTTACCCTGGGCTGCAGAAGTGATGCTTAGGTTGTGGGATAAACAGGAGAGGGAGAGGCAGCTTCACCCCTTACTCCCTCCTGCCTTTTATCCATTTCAGATCACCCCCCTGCAAGCAGCTTTTAGCCTTGGGAGGCAAGGAGATCACCTGGGTGTGTATGGGGGCGGTGGAAACGAGGAAGGATAAATTGAGTACAGAGAAAGGGTTAAGAGCCCCTCTCTGCCGGCCACTGTGCTCTAAATTCCTCCCCACCCCTCCCAATGCAACTTTTCATGTTTGGTTTTGTGTGCTTGTGTTAGCGTGAAGTGTCCACCAGGTCTGCTAAGAGCTGCAAGCTTGAAATAGACCTGCCTGGTTGGTCCAAGAACATGTGAAGCCTCCTTCCTTCCCTCCCTCCCTCCCTTTGCTAGCCTGTGCCCATGTTTCATCTAGATTAGCTGAAAGGCAGCGTCTGTTATACAAAGAGTGTGAAGTACATGCATATGTTTTTTTCCAGGACCACATGATATTTTGGCATCCATATACTGTACTCCTCTCTGCTCTGGTCTCCTCTGATGAATTATAAGTACAGTGGTACCTTGGTTCCCGAATGGCTGGGCTCCCAAACAAATCGGCTCCAGAATGCTGCAAACCCGGAAGGAAGTGTTCTGGTTTGCGAACGTTTTTCAGAAGCTGAATGTCTGACGCGGCTTCTGCTTGAGTACAGGAAGTTCCTGCAGCCAATCCAAAGCTGCACCTTGTTTTCTGAACGGTTTTGGGAGTTGAATGGACTTCCAGAACGGATTAAGTTCGAGAACCAAGGTACCACTGTAGCTATATTGAGTCTTCATTTTATCCCATTGAGACTATAAAAAAGAAGAAATAAGTAACAGCTTTAGGGGGATTTATACTGGGGAATGGATTTAAGAAGCTTTCTGTTGTTACTGCTGTTCCAATCAAAATCAGAGGCCACAGGCAAGAAACAAAACAAAGTTTGGCATCTATTTGTTCCTCCCTGGTCAGGATCTGCCATGTCCACTTTTGGTGTGGTTCTGAGTGCCAAGTCACACCCACTGATGAGATAAGGCAAGTCGCCTGCCTTGAGTGGCAGAAGCCAACAGAGAAGTCACACCTTTCAGCAGCACCTGTTTCTGGTGAGATCTCACAAGGTTTCACTGAAATCTCACGAGACCTCATGGAGCGCACAAGATCTCACCAGAAGTTGACATTGCAGGCAGTGCTTTGCCAGCACCGCTGTGCAATTCAGGTGAGAGAGGCATGGTGGGGGCACAGCAATGGGGGGGGAGAAGGCATATTTGTTTCATCTCGAGCAGAGAAATGAGCCGTGCTGCCCCTACTGAGTGCCCTGAAAGATGTAGCACTTGAAACATAGGCAATTCATTCAGCCCTTTGAAAGAAGTGAAGACCTACAAGGTGAAGATTCCCCACCAAAACTCCCAAGCTGCAGCAGCGCCTGGCTGTTTCCCCCTCTGATTTGCTGAAGTTTTCACTCTCAACACTCTAGTGCTGCAGGACACACCTCCCTTGCTGAAAGAATTCAGAAAGAAACTAACCCATTGCAGCACAACTCTCCCCCACTTCCATCAAGCTGTAGGGATGCAGGTGGCGCTGTGGTCTAAACCACTGAGCCTCTTGGGCTTGCCAATCACTAGGTCAGCAGTTTGAATCCCTGCGACTGAGTGAGCTCCTGTTGCTCTGTCCCAGCGCCTGCCAACCTAGCAGTTCGAAAGCATACCAGTGCAAGTAGATAAATAGGTACCACTGTGGCGGGAAGGTAAACAGTGTTTCCGTGCACTCTGGTTTCCATCACAGTGTTCTGTTGCTCCAGAAGCAGTTTAATCATGCTGGCCACATGACCCGGAAAGCTGTCCGTGGACAAATGCCGGCTCCCTTGGCCTGAAGGCAGAAATGAGCGCCGCACCCCATAGTCGAATTCGACTGGACTTAACCATCCAGGGGTCTTTTACCCTTACCTTACCAGCAAGTTGTCCCCCCTCTTTCTAACACTTGCTTAAGACAGAATATGATTGGGATATGGCTGGTGCTAGTGGTGGTAGCTTTCTGTTTCCCAAAAGGCATCTGGTTGGCCCCTGGGAGAACATGAGGACTGGATGGGTCACTGGCTAGCTCTAGCAGGCTCTTCATTTGTTCTTTATACAACAGTATTACCCCCCAAGGCTTTTTTTCAGCCAGAACCTGCCAGAACTCAGTTCTAGAAAAATAGCACTGATTAGCCCCCCTGCCCAAAGATCCATAGTTTTGGGAACCACATTTATTTTTAAGTCATGTTCATATTACACCCTCCCACTCCCATGTTTCCCGCTATTGATTCCCGTAGCATAAATGGGAAAGTTCCTCTAATATACTTCCGTAATTATGTGAATTATAATCTGCAAAGAACTCTGCAGTCGTCACTTTTTGCGGGGGTGGGGAAATTGCAGGAGGGGAGGGGTGATAAGCTGTACATATACACACACAAAGCGCGAGAGGCAGTCCCAGCGTTCTCTTCCCAGGTCTTCACGCTCTTAACTTCAGGCTGGTCTTACTTTCAGCCTGGCAGTACGGTCCCGTAGCTACACAGATCCCAATGTGTGCCACACAGGTCAGAGGTCCTTTCCGAATTGGCGGGACCTCATAGCAAGCAGTCTTTGAAGCTGGGCTGTAAAATTTTAGAAGCTCCAATATGCTCAACGGGTGTGAAACTGTCAGAAATTTGGGGGCTCAACACTCAAACACGTACACTTCACTCCCTGTCTCTCTCTCTACACACATACACACACACACACACACACAGAGAGAGAGAGAGAGAGAGAGAGAGAGAGAGCCTGTTTACCCAGATGTACAACCTCTTCCCTTCAGGGCTGGAGAATTATGCCTCAAATATGTTGCACAAATGAATAATAAAAACAAAAGAAAATGACCCTCTTTATGGAAACTCATTTTATGAATAAAACAATTATTCTGGTAATTGAAAAAATGTGTCGTTAAATTAAATGCAGTGGTTCCTATTAAAATTTTAGTGGGTTTCTTTTCTTTCTTCCCCACCCACCCCTTCTCTCTCTCCCCCCTTCCCTCCCTTTCCCCTCCCTGCCGCTGCTGGCGGTGAAGGGTTGGCAATTAGAGCAGAGGGTTTCGTTTTTCTCTTTATTGTTTTTTAATCTCGCTTCGTGCCGTGCAGCTCCAGTGATATTTTGATGTCAATGAGATTTAGAACAATATCCCTGGTGTTGGGAGGGGGAAAGAGGGAAAGATGGGGAGGGAATGAGAGGAAAAACAGCTGCTCTTTTCCTGGGCATGCAGGGGCAATGTGTGACCATTGCCGCTTCTGCTCCTGGGCAGTAAGGCAGCCATATTCACATGGTCTGAACAAGCTCTGAGCCAAAGAAAACCCGTCTTGATTCAGTGGGTGAAGCGTATCACTCTGCCCCTTAGAAACCAAAGGGGCTCCGCAAAAGGGCTCCACTGTTGGCTGGAGAGTGTCCTTGGTTTCCCATTTCCGTTTCAAAATAGGAAGTGCAGGAAGCGGCAGCACGATTCTGCAAGCCCGATGGCTTTGACGTGGCAGGGCTGCCAGCTGCCATAGGGTAGCTCTCACTTTCTGATGGAAACCATATCTGAGTAGATGCAATAACGGAGGAGGATGGGAGATGGAGAGGTATGTTTATGAGGAATCGCTGAGAGAAGAAGAAAGAATAGGGCAGACCCCTGTTTTGAGGGGCTGGCCATGCCAGACATTGGGAGGTTGGAAGAGTGGGAAGAACTGAGGTTAGAGGAACATAGGAAATGCTTCACCACTGAGCCGCAGCCCTTCCCCGTGATAATGTGTTGGGGCATAAGAACATAAGAAGTGCTTGCTGGATCAGGCTAGTGGCCCACCAACATTTGGCTCTCACAGTGGCCAGCCAGATGTCTGCAAGCAGGACCTGAGTGCTAAAGCACTCTTTCCTTCTGTGGTTTCAAGCAGCTTGTACACAGAAGCTTTGCTGTCTCCCAACAGTCGAGGTAACCATCATAGCTAGTTGCCGCCTTATCTTCCGTGAATGTATCCAGTCCTCTTTTGAAGCCATCCAAGTTGGCAACCACCAGTGCTTCTTGTGAGTCTGAATTCCATAGTTTAACTATGATCTATGTGAATACGTGATTTTCTTTGCGGAGTTGAAGGAGACCCTGAGGACCAGTCCAACTCCCTGAAATGCAGGAATATGCCGCTGTCCCAGATCCCAGCGTCCCTGGCGTCATCAGCACCACGCTCTAACCAACTGAGCTATATTCCAACTCTCAGCTTCAGTGGATGTCCCGGAGTTTGTACTGTTAGGACTGAGCCCCTAAATTCAGCCCACCCATAAAAATAAAAAAAATAAAAAATCTGAAGCAGCCACTGCATCTCATCCCATCTGTGTAGCACACAAGATTCCGATCTGACTTCCTTGCATGTCAATGACAAGGATGGGCAGTGCAGGAGAAGGGAGTGTTGAGGATGGAAGACACATCAGTAGTATCCTCTCCTGCTGCTTCAGGACTTTTAAAGCGGGGGAGTGGGGCCCTCAAGATGTTGCTGAGCTACAACTCCCATCATCCCCATCCAGCATAAAAGGTAAAGGGTAAAGGGTCCCCTGACCATTAGGTCCAGTCGTGACCGACTCTGGGGTTGCAGCGCTCATCTCGCTTTATTGGCCGAGGGAGCCGGCGTACAGCTTCCGGGTCATGTGGCCAGCATGACTAAGCCGCTTCAGGCAAACCAGAGCAGCGCACGGAAATGCCGTTCACCTTCCCGCCGGAGCGGTACCTATTTATCTACTTGCACTTTGATGTGTTTTCGAACTGCTAGGTTGGCAGGAGCAGGGACCGAGCAACGGAAGCTCACCCCGTCGTGGGGATTTGAACCACCAACCTTCTGATCGGCAAGTCCTAGGCTCTGTGGTTTAACCCACAGCGCTAGTGGTTAAATATGATATGGGTTCAGCAACATTGGGAGGGACACAGGTTACTTGCCTGTGCTCTTTGTGCACATTCACTAGACTACATGTTTGCAAAGACCAAGGTGCCTCTCCCTTAACCCTGTCCACGAGTACAATGGGTACCGTGTAGCTTTTGCAAAAGCTTGTGAACATGTTATTTTGCCAAGGAAGAAAAAGAATGCATGTTTCTTTGGAAGACGATTCCATGTCTTCATGAGCCTCCAGATTCCACGACTACACTAGCCTCACGAAAGAACCAACACAATCATTTCTTTAGGAGCATTTTCCCCCACAAGGCTTGGACACGTACTTGACACTGGATATGTGTGGCTGCCGTGTCTTACATGTCAAGTTAAATGCTGATGTGCCAGGGGCAGGAGTTGCAAATTGCTCAGGCACCTCAAAAAGCGCCAAGGCACTTTGCCAAGCATTCAGAGCTGTGCAGCAGGCATGAGCATCAGCAAAAGTGCTCAAGCATATGTACAGAGGAGGTACCCAGGGGCTCCAAATGAATGGATTTTCCTTCCTTGGCTCCTAAAGCAAATTACGTGGCCTCCTTCCACCCCACCCCCCATCGCACCCCTCACCATGTAGAATTGCAGACAAAATGTTCTGCTTAAGTGGGAGGCATCTCAGCTTTTAGCTGGTTCCTTGTGTGTGTGTTTAATGGTGTATAAATAGCACATAGGCTTTTAGGCAAGCACCAGGCCATATCTTCCTTTGGGGATCAACTTTTTAATCATAGCTGTTTGAGTTAGTTTTTTTCTTAATTCTTCTCCTCTTTCTTGATGCCCCTAGAATGCTCTCAGCTGATGGGAACAGGATTGACAATCCACCTGGTTCAGCATTGCTGGTGCATTTTTATTACAAACATTCAGGGTTTATGGCATGTGGACTCAGTCCAAATGCAGCTTTTGTGTTTAAAACCAACTGCTCTGTCCAGACACAGAAGGGCGCTCCAATAAGGAAGTGTTGAGCATCTTCTTCCTGTTCTGCAGTATGTCTCAAATGCTCTGCAGTGTGACTGGTTGTTGTCTTCAATGGAAAGCCCATTTGCACCTGCCATGGAAAAAATCAGTAGCCCTCCTTTTCTGCTGAATTGTATGCACAGGCTAATCATCCTTGGAGCAGGAGTAGTTTACATATTGGAGTCCTGGGGAGGAGTAGAGATACTGGATCTCTTTGTGGAAGGAGCAACAGGATCTCCCCCTGGAAGCAATGGCCCAGGGAGAGGGGATTAAGAAACATTTTGCTCCTCAGAAAAAAACACACTCAAAAATACAGCATAGCATTAATATTAGCCCTTGGATTGGTATTTCTGGGTTAGAAATTGTGAAAAATAGCGAGTGTGGAGATCTTCTAAGTTCATCCATGGGCTGTGGGGGGAAAGAGATTAATGTGGACATTTAGTTCTTCCCAAGTCATTGCTCTAGAGGAGGGATGGGGAGCCCTTTGAGGTCCATGGGCCAGATCCATATAAGAACCTAGCTTCACAAGTTGAGCTTGACAACAGGGTGGGCCACCCACCTGTCAATCACCTGGCATCACAATGACATTAAGTTTTTGAGTGCTTTGATGTCCCAAAGTTCCAACCTTGGCCTGTCAAAGCACCACCCAGGGCTTGCAAAGAGTTCACTGCCCAGCAGCTGAGGGATGGAAGAGACAAGGCCTAATAATGAAAGGTGCAGGGTTTATTTAACTCAGTCAGTAGGGCATGAGACTAAATCTCAGCGTTGTAGGTTCACGTCCCATGTTGGGCAAAATATTCCTGCATTGCAGGGGGTTGGACTATATTGTTTTCACGGTCCCTTCCCACTCTACAATTCTGTGATTCTGTGATGTCACACATGACATAAAGTGAGTGCAGTTTGGAGGAAGGAGCCTCATGGACCAAATTTGAATCCTAAGTGGGCTGAGATTGGCCCACAGGCTGGAGGTTTGCCTCCTCTGTTCTAGAATGTTAAAGCGGCACATGAGAACTGCTATACAGGGCCAGATCAGTAGTCAAACAAGCCAGTGTTCTGTCCTTTCTGATGGGCAACTGTGTACAATACAGGAGAAACCAACATACAAAATTGTGCAGTAATTTGATCATGCAGAGAGGCCCTGGATATACCTTAAAAATATTTATTTATTTTTTGATGCTTTGGATTTCCAAATGTTGGCAGGTGCATGTTCATGCTGAAACACGTTGGTGAGATTACACCAATCTTTCTGAGGAACGGCTGCTCCCTGGCTCCCCTACATGTCTGCAGTTGAGCTCCCAGGAGGCACCACTGCAGCCTATTAATGTGTTTTTGGCGGGGAAGAGCTGGAGACTTTCCATGGGTCTTTAGCATCATTTTCCACTGTAATGTTTCCCAGCTGTTGCGTTGCACTCCTTGGTTAAAGAGGTTTCAGGCCCGTGGCTCCAGTGCGCGGGTGGATGTTTTACAAGCTTCGCACCAGGCTCACCGAGAGCTGCTGGTCTAGTTGGCTGGCTAGGGACCCCCATCCTTTCCCCCACACCATGTGCATGACGCATCTGCCCTTCTATGCACAGCATCTACTTGGATAGAGAGCTAATAGAGAAGGGAGCGAATCCAGGGCATCCCCCAGTTGGACCATTACTGGAAAGATGTCTGTTTAAAATAACCTAGTCTTGGCTGGCTGTGGGCCGAAACATAAATGAGAAATGCTGGAGGCAGCTTTGCAGGAAACAGAGTGTGTCTTGCGTGCCTGCGGCTGTGTTGGAGACACGAGCTTGGCTACGCTGAGCCAGGACCTTGGCCTTTCCCCACTCTCATGGAACGGAACAATCCCCTGCTGCTACAAGCCGTATGCTCTTGCCTTGTTCTGCAGCAGAAGGTCTCCTGGTTTGCACTTAACTCTGATACACACACACACACACACAAACTTTCTTGCCAAGACTCTGTGCAGACTGCAGAGTTCTGCTCTGCCTCTGGGTTTTGCTTTGTTTTTCTTCGCTGCAACTCATTCCAAAGCCGGGATTTAAACCCCTTTCAGACAACTCTTTTGCACCTTGCGCGTTGAGGAGCTCCCATGCATTTCAGATGCTCCTGGGGCACGTTTCTACAGTGCAAAGTGAGCAAGGGGCGCTGTCAGCCAGACCTGTCGGATCTCATTATTGCTCTGCGTGAGCAGAGACAGCACTGCTGAACATGCGCAGCCAATTCTACCCCCACGGTTGTGCATCGCAGGGGACAGTCGTTAGTGCTGGGCAAGCTGTCTTTCAGCATGTGTGCTGCTGCTGGTTTTCCCGCTGACGAATGCCCCGTAGGGTTTAAGGATCCCCAGGGTTTCCTGGGAAACAGACTGAAAGCCACCGTTGTAGGAGAAACCAGGTTAAGTATGTTGCAATCGCAGAAAAACGGCTTCAGCACTTGGGGCGAGTGGAATTGTGGGCGCGCTGCTGAGCAACGTCTGATTCTGAAGAAAATTGAATGCAAACAATAAATCTGACTGCTCACATCTCTAAGGATTTATCTAAACTGCAGAATTCTGGCCCTTCTTGTCTTAGAATCCTGTATCTCTGGGACATATGTGCTTTTAGTAAATTCGGATCAGGTTTTCAATATTTATTTTCTATGACTTTCAAGGCTAGAAACTTGCTTTTTTAAAAAAAGGAACCAAATCCCATTGGGCACAGCACAGAGCCTTATTCATCTCTCTCACACTTCCACAGCTATGACCTGCCACTGTAACTTTGTTACTCTTTTGAAAGTGGTTTTTTAAGATCTTATTTTAGGACTTAAACAAGAAAAAACCTACAAGCTCTATTGGGTTAAATCAATATCTCAAATATATTAATGCACCTCTCTGAGTGTCCACTGAGTTAGACAATGAAGCAGGGGAAGTCTCGACCACATTTTGCTTCTTTTTTAAGGTGGCGTCTTACTGGTTAGAGTAGTGGCTCTGGGGAGTGCAGCTGTGTGTATTAGAGAAAGTTCAGAAGAAGTGATGTTCTGAGCCTGCATCCAGCGTTGATTAACTTTATACCAGTCTCAAGAAACGCCCTTGTGGATAGCTTTCTCTTTTGCCACCCAGCATATAAGCAAATATGGAAAGCTCCCAAACCGAGTAGAAACCCAGAGTACATATATTCAGAGATGGGCAGTTCGAAAGCCTTTCCTGCCAGTAAGCCGTTTTTGGGAAGGGCTGTGTGTGCCAGTTCTCCCCTGGTTTACCTGGAGAATGAAGGCAGATGGCCGCTCATCTTGCCAAATTAGCACCTGACCTTTAAACTGCTTACTCGCCATTTTCATTCATCGCTTGTGCACCTGTGCCAGAGGTGGAGAAACTGGATTCCAACCCCTGATGGTCAGGAATGATGCAAGTTGTAGTCGCAACATCATCAAGAGGGCCACAGGTTCCCCATCCTTGGCCTCATTCCACACTGTTGCTCAGCTGTATGGCTCAGCTATTCTCTCCCACAACTGAGGCAGATAACATCTCCTCCTGAATATGAACAGTTTGCCAGACTCACTCTTGTGGCATATAGGTGTGTGCAGACTGGCAGCTTCTTTGTGTGTGCTGGATGGGGGGTGGTAAAGTATTTTATTTTGTTTTGTTTTGTTTTGTTTTATTTTATTTTATTATTTATTTATTTATTTATTTCCAGATTATTTTTTGCACTTGTACATTTTCATCACAATCTTACAGATGTTTACTAAGATGTTTACTGTGTTCAGCAACATTTACTCTTTAGTAAGTGTGTCTTGGATTGCAGCCTGGATAGCTCACTAGGCTAGAGCTTGGCGCTGATAACTCCAAAGTTGCAGGTTCAATCCCTGTCCGGGACAGCTGCACATTCCTGCGTTGCAGGGGGTTGGTCTAGATGATCCTCAGGGTCTCTTCTAGTTCTATGATTCTATGTAATCTGACTGTGTGCGTATGCCTAAAAGGATAGTTTACAAGGTAGACTACAGGCAACAGGTAGCGTCACTGCCCTACTAATCTGCATTATGTCTGTATTTATTCATTTGTACTTCTGTTTGAAATATGTAGACCGTAACTTTCCACCCTATTTAAAGGGCCTTCATTGTGACTACCATGTAATAAAAATCACAATTTGAAGTAATCTAGCAATGAAAGCAAAGCAGAAGTCATTGATTTTGATATTCCCATTCCGCTCCGCTTTGAAATAATGCAGGAAGCCACCGCAGCTTCTAGGTAGGTATACATAAAACTCTCTTTATACTGACGAGCATGTTTGCTGCAATCTCCAAGGTTATTGCTATTATTATATCATAATATCTTATAATATATTATTATATTTCCAAAAAAAAGAGACTCAATGGGTTGACTGGCAGCAGCTCTCCAGGGTTACCGATGAAGAGTCTCTCTACCTGGAGATGTCAGGGAGTCAACCTGGAATCTGCAGTAAATCAGACAATTGTAGACTTGGAAGGGACCTTGAGGGTCATCTAGTCCAATCCCCTGCAATGCAGGGATGCATACAAGGCAGATACTGAGCTATGGCCCTTCCGCCCATTATACATAATACCCAGTAAGGTAGCAGAATGCTGGACTGCAGCACTTTAGAAGCTAAGTTACAGGGAACCAGGCAGAGGGCCTTCTCGGTAGTGGCACCCGCCCTCTGGAATGCCCTCCCACCAGATGTCAAGGAGAAAAATAATTACCAAACTTGTAGAAGACATCTGAAGGCAGCCCTGTATCAGGAAGCTTTTAATGTTTAATAGGTTATTGTATTTTAGTGTTTTGTTGGAAGCCGCCCAGAGTGGCTGGGAAAACCCAGCCAGATGGGCGGGGTAATAATGTAGCCGACCTTAAACTTTCCCCTAGGTGTACTACTTTACTCCATGCAGGCATCTTTTTACAGGTGGGTGATATCTTCTCCCTTATGACAACTAGAGTCCTCCTGCCTCCTTCTCAAAGCCTAGTTAGTGCTTGAGAAGAAGGTGGGAGAGCTCTAGGACCCTGCCAGAGCCTGGTGCCTCCTTCCCAAGGCCTGGAGCCTCACTTACGCGCCTTTGGGAATGCAGCGCAAGGGCTGGGGAGGGACGTCAAATTCTGGCCTCGCTCCCCACCCCACCCTGTGCATGACAGGGCTATGTGCGGCCCCGGGTTCTGTGTCAAAGTAGCCTTGTGGCTCACTTGGCGTGAAAAGTTGAACCTCCCTGCTCTAGGGAATTGGATGATGAACTCTAAAACCTGTTAGCTGAAGGCAGACCATGCAGTTTGCCACCTGGATCTTTAGGCTTGTGATGGAGTAAAAGGTAAAGGGACCCCTGACCATTAGGTCCAGTCGTGGCCAACTCTGGGGTTGCAGTGCTCATCTCGCTTTACTGGCCGAGGGAGCCGGCGTACAGCTTCCGGGTCATGTGGCCAGCATGACTAAGCTGCTTCTGGCGAACCAGAGCAGCGCACGGAAACGCTGTTTACCTTCCCGCCAGAGCGGTACCTATTTATCTACTTGCACTTTGACGTGCTTTCAAACTGCTAGATGGGCAGGAGTTGGGACCGAACAACAGGTGCTCAACCCCGTCATGGGGATTCGAACCACCGACCTTCTGATCGGCAAGTTCTAGGCTCTGTGGTTTAACCCACAGCACCACCAGTGTCCCGTGTGATGGAGACAGCATGCAAAAAAGGAGCAAACGAGAGCTGAGCCATCAGCTCCTATGCACAATGTGGCCTGGACGCCCTTGGATAATAACAACTGCTGTGTGTGGAGTGCTGGGGGTGGGAGGTGGGGAGTCCTGATTGTAAGGTCAGCTCTGCCAGAGATTAGATCTCAACTCTTCTTGCTGCTTTGATAGGTTCTCCCCAGCCACCCATAGGACTTAATCAGAGCAGAACCTTTTTGTAGGCAGCCACCAGAGGGTGCCTCGTTACCTAGTCCATGCCCAGAGAGAGTTCTGTGCAAAGCTTAGGTTCCCCCTGGGGGTTCACGAGACACCTGCAGGGGATTCATAAATGCTGAGGTCTTGGGAGTGATTGAGTATTTCTGGAAAACAAACAGCAGCTCCACCCTCTGCCTTTCCCAATTCACTGAAGGAGGGGGGTTCACATTGAATGGCTTCAAAAGAGGATTAGACCAATTCATGGAGGATAAAGCTATCAGGGGCTACCCACTATCAGTAATTTCCAGAAACAAATGCAGACACTTTTCTTTTGTTCTGCTGGGTATTTCCAGCTGGATTAATGGGGTCTCTGCCATGAGTGCCCTATTTATTGATTTACTTAACATCCCACCTTTCTCCCGGTGCTGAGATACAACTAAAAACATACAAATAAAAATATCAAATATTTGTTTTGTTTTGTTTTTAAATGCGTCTGCTGGTTTTTGTGTTTTTTAACTGCTTTTGTTGTTGCCATGTTTATTGTACATTGCCTGGAGGCAGTTGTATTGGAAGCAATTCATAAAACAACCACCACACAACAACACATGGCACAACAACAATTTCTCCACTGTCAGAGGCAGTACAGTTGTACCTGGGATCCCGAACGCCCTGGAACTCGGATGTTTTGGCTCCCAAACGGCGCAAACCCAGAAGTGATTGTTCTGGTTTCTGGCGTTCTTTTGGAACCTGAACGTGCGACGGTGCTTCCGTGGCTTCCGATTGGCTGCAGGCACTTTGTACAGCCAATCAGAAGCCGCAATTTGGTTTTCAAATGTTTTGGAAGTCGAACGGACTTCCTGAACGGATTCCATTTGACTTCCAAGGTACGACTTGTATACCACTTGCTGGGGATCAGAACTGTTGCCCTGCAACGTTCAACGAGTGTGCAGTCCGCGTACACAATGGTTGAGCCGAATGGTTAAATGAATGTATGGTTTTTTTCACTAACACTTAGATATGTGCAGAGACAGTGTGCCCCTGTGCTTGGTTTAATGTGCAAACAAGCGAAAAGTTCATGCAGCAGGCAGAGAGGGAAGAGCTTGGGTCATGCCTGGGATAACTCACTGATGGGCTATTGGGTGGGGATGGGGGTGTTGCAAGGTGAGGAAAAGTGAGTGGCATTCTTACTAAAGCAATCTTCGGTATTTTAATATTCTGTTGGAAGCCGCCCAGAGTGGCTGGGGAAACCCAGCCAGATGGGCGGGGTATAAATAATAAGTTGTTGTTGTTGTTGTTGTTGTTGTTATTATTATCTTTACAGTCTACCATTTCGTACTACAGGATGATGTGTGATGTAGGATACCAGACTGGTGCAGGTGAGGGCAAGGAACCTGAAGAGAGAGTAAAAACCCTTATGGCCTGCCCTCTAAGCACTGTGAAGGTTTGTGTGGGCTCTTCTGCACCTGAGCAAACCCGTTTCTTGCACGCACATCCATGCAGAGACTCAAGCTAATGGATTCTGAACATATGAGAGCAGCTCTCCAGTTCCCTAGCACCAGCCATGATTTAGTGTGGAAGCATGGCTTGTGTTTGCTCGGCAGCCCTGGGGTGGTCCCTTTGGCTGCCGGAGGATCCCTCAATTATCTCAAGCATATGGCACCCTAGTCCCTCAAATCTCCTCCAGCAAACAGTGCCTTGATGGATTTGCATTTGCAGCCAATGCACTCAGAGCAGCTTTAAATTCCCCTGCTCCCTCCCCGGTCTCTGTCTTACCACGTGCCAGCTTGTGTTGAGTAGAGAGATTAATATTGAATGGGATGGGTGGCGGAGGGGATGCAGGGTCTGCTTGCTGCGTGAGGTCGAAGGGCACGGGCAGAGCTGTGTAAGCGGGGGAGGGGTGTGTGAAAGCAAAGGTAAGAGCCTGAAAATGCATCACAACTCCCAAGGCTGGGCTAATGAGAGGCTGGTGCGGAGAACTTCAGGGGCGCCTTCATACCTTTGGAGAAAGAGGCCTGAGGCAGGGGCAGTGAGACTACGGGCAGAAGGAGAGCTGCTGGAAAGCAGAGACTGCAAGAGTGTTGTGGGGTGTAAGGACAGTTGGGGGGCACCAGGGCAGAGGAAACAGGGAAGCTACATTTGAAGCAAAGTAAACAGGGGCCAGGGCAGGAGTCCAGCCCCAGCTGCGTGCATTCAGGTATGCAGGCCTCAGTGTACGTATTAGACACATATTTTTAAATTCACATTGAAATCAACCCCAATTTAATACTCACCAGGTTTGACCGAGTTGAACTTCCTTGCCACATTCGTGTTCAACCTGCTTTCCATGATTTCTTGAGGCCCATCAAGTTCCAATCTGGATAGTTGTCAAAATGGAAATAAGGCCAGTGCTTGTGGGTGGCATAATGAATAAATCTTGTCTGTGTGGTAGGGGACACTCAGTGTGAGGTCAACGTGCAAGTATTGGTTGAGTTGTCATCGCACCTTAAACCAGCTTTCCCCAACCTGCTGCAGTCCAGATGTTTCGTACTCCTGCTCCCCTTTCTCCTGACCACACTGGCTGGGGATGATGGGAGTTAGAGTCCAACTGCAACCTGGGATGGCACCATGTTGGAGAAGGCTGCTGTACACAACATTTCAGTGCACTGAGTTCTCAGTTTTGCATGCTGCTTTTTGACTTTCTCTCTGTGTATGCTCGTGTACACAGACACACAGACACACACACACATATGCATTGCTGTCGCAGGGCTTTGCCACTGTCTCCCACGAATTGTCCATTTGGCTCCCCATCTTTTGCCCACATTGCCCTATCATGTCCTTCTTTGGCCTCGCATCCATTCCTGATGTGGTTGGAGGTTTGCTCTTGCCAAGTTGTGGAAACTTTCCCCTTGGGTGTCTGTCTTCCCTCTTTTGAAAGGTAGCTGAGCTATGAGGACCCTTGCCATTGCAACAGGGTTGAACTACGTCACCCTTGAGGTCCTCCATAGTTCTTATACTCTTGGCTTTCAGCCCAGTACAGGCAGCTCGTGATGTTTCCTAGCAGCTGCTGTGAGGTGCCACCAGCTCAGTCAGCCAGCGAGGGATTGCTGCACACAGCTGTCAGCCACTGGAGCTACCCAGCTAACTTTCTCACCCAACAGCTGTGATGGGATTAAACAAACCACAGAGATATTGATACGGATTTAGCATATGTGGCAAAGGGAAGGAGTCGGAAGGGAGGGGCAAGTTCGTTTATGAAAATGTAGGGAGGGGCTGACTTGAAGAACAGAGAAGCCAAACTTCCCAAGTCTCCTAAGTTTTAACCTTTTATTTCGTTTTATTTTTAATTTCATACAATTGCACCCCACCTTTCCATTCTGAACATGGAGCTATCGAGAGGGCTAATAACAAAGTAACAGCAGTCTAAAATAATAACTGAAACAGCAAAAGCAAGAAACAGAGATAGAGCAGTTTGAACCACCACAACAGGAAAGCAGCAGCAATTTTTAATAAAATACTCCAGAGGGGATAAAAGTCAAGACAAGGTCTTTCAGAAACATCATCTGATACTGGAAGACCAATAAACAATTGACAAGATGGAACTCCCAGGACCCAGGAATTCCACACCCTGTCTTCCCATTCCCACCACCAGCACTTAAGGAGGGGATCAGAACACATGAAACAGCCTCTCCCACTGAGTGCAGTAGATGAGCAAAATTATTTGGGAGGAGATGGTTCTGCAAACTCCAGGGCTTGAAGGCTTTAAATGTAATAACCAGTTCTTTGAGTTGTGCCTGGAAACAGAGTGACAGCCAGCGAAGCTGAGAGAAAACCTTTCTTTCCCCCAGTTTGCCTATTATTTGGCTGTTTTGTTCAATACAGTGCTTTTCAAAATATGCAACATTATTCACAGTTCTCACCTTGCTAATTTAATGTATATGACACCTTGGCAAACAAACATGACTGTCTGTAATTATTATACCCCAGGGAAATAATCAGCGCAGCGGTAGCGACGGGGCATTTCCCAAAATTCAGCTGCTTGGTTTTTTCGTTTGGTTTGGTTTGCAGGAAAGGACCATCTAAGTTAGCTTTTGTCAACCTGGTTCCCTCCAGACATTTCGGACTATAGCTCCCATCAATGTCAAGCAGAATCCTAACCCCAAATGACCTTGACCACTTATTTGCCATGCACTGAGCCCAGGCTTGTATGCCACACTGCTTCCCCGACTTCCCTCTACCTCCTCACATTCTGGTACTTTCCGATCTGTAAGCAGGCACCAGAAATGCTGAATCAATTTACACCAGAATCCATACAGTGTCCTGCATGGCTTGCACAGACAGCTTGCCTGCTAATGGATCTTTCTCTTTCTCTCCCTCCCTCCCTCTGCCTGCCACCTTCCAACACACAGGAGGCGGCTGGAAATTATCCACCACTAACAAATCACCCCAAGGGTGTCTTTTTAAGGGTACACACAGCCAGATCGATACTCTTTGACATAAGCAAGAAGGGTAGCGTGAAACTGCATCAGGGTACATTAGTTGTGATTCACAGCAGAGAGGCCAGACCTACTTGGATCAGGGCCAGTGATGGCTGCGGGATTGAATGGCGGAGGCACCGGTGTTGAGATAACACTTTAAAATGCACACATATGGAGCTCAGCGTAGTTCCAGCGCTGCTGTGCTGAAAATCACATCCGTCTGAAGAGGAGTAAATTGCCTCGCTTCCATCTTATCCCTCCACAAACATACGTGCAGATGAAAAAGAATTCGTGTAACATCACAGCTGTCATTTGTAGGCAGAGCCTGTCATGCCCTTCTCTTCCTTTTGACTTTCCCCAGCTCAAAGATGAGATGTTAGCTGCAGGGGCGGGTACTGGTGGTGGTCGTGATTACTTGCAAGCAGGTTCGGGAGAAGATAGGAATGAGTTGGGTAAAGCGATTCTGAAAACGAATCAGAAACAAAGTGTTGCTGATGGGAGACCAAACCACAGTGCCGTCTGTATCTAGGGGAAAGCAACCCAGGAAACTCCCAACGTGTGCAGCTTTTAGTACAGAAACACAGGAAGGATTGAGCGCAAATGGTGCCGTGAGTGATGCCAGCCCCATCCCCATTCAGTAGAAACAAGGAAGCTGAACGGTCGAAGTTTCAGGACAGGTCAAAGAAAGTCTTCCTTCACACAGAAAGGATGCAAGCAATGGCCACCAACCTCCATGGCTTTAAAAGAGGATTAGACAAATTCATGGAAGCAGAGGGCTATCGATGACTACTAGCCATGATGGCTGTGCTCTGCTTCTACAGTTAGAGGCAATAATGCTTCCCGGTACCAGTTGCTGGAAACCACAGAAGGGGAGAGGGCTCTTGTGCTCAAATCCTGCTTAAGGGTATCCATCTGGCTGGCCACTGGGAGAACAGGATGCTGAACCACATGGGCCATTGGCATGGTCCAACAGTCTCTTCTTAGGTTCTTATGTAGCATAAGGAGCATAAGTGTCAGGAGCCCAGGTTCCCAGCTTGATAACACAGTAAGCGTAGGTAATTAAAAAGGAGGATTTATTGCAAAAACAAACAGAATGCTCCGGACGGCTCTGACAAAGCCTCTGGCATCATTACTCAAGATGACCCTTCTGAAGACTTCTTCCAGCATCTCCAGAAGATACTGAACTTTCGCCCCTTACGTCTTGCTTCCTATCTAGCAACCCTCTCATTCGTCGACTCCTTGGACTGATTGGATTAGTTCCCGTCTCTTCTTGCTCTGACAAACTGTCTCCCTTCCTGTTCGTGCCTGTCTGAACTTCCTGAGAGCTTTGGCTGGGTTCCAGCCCGCTCTCAGTCGTTTTCTCAGCAGCCAGCATTCCAAGGGGCGGGGGAGTTGCCCTGTGTACTGACTGCTGTTCTGCCTGTATCAGATCTACCTCTCTCTGTTCTTCAGCAGGCTGGAAAGTTACACTAGGAGCAGGCTCATTCCTGACACCATGAGAGAGTTA